CCATGTCGGGGTTCAGAGCAAGCCGGGTGACAAGGCAGGGCTTGGTTTCCCAGGGTGAGTGCCTCCTGCATGGTGGGGTGCTTTCCGTGCAAACCAGCCTCATCTGTGCTAGCTGCTTGCAGCCTGGCCCCGAGGACCTCTCCGCGCTCCCTTCCCCAGCCCTCCAGCTTCCAGGAGATGGCATCACTCGATCATGGATAGCAGCACCGAGCCCCAGGGAGTGTGTGGGGAGCCCTGGCTGCTCTCCCTCTCTGCTGCATCCGCCTGGTTTCCACCAGGAATGTCAGAGCTGGAGCAGTAGCAGGAGCTCCCCACAGGTGCTGGGGGTCTCTGGGGTGGATGTAGAGGGTACTGCCATCTCCTATCATCTATCTGAGGACCCCCAAGGGTTCTGGCAGCCCCTGACCTTCTCATGCATGGGACCCTGCAGTGGGAGGCATCCTGGGGCATCGAGGGTCACCAGCATCACCCTTCAGCCCCATTCTAGCAGCTGGGATGCTCCTTAGGGAGTCCATGGAGGGCAGCCTCACCTGGCTTTTCCCAAGCATAAACTTTGCCAACCATAATCCCCACCAGCAATAAACAGGCCAAAGAAAAGGAAAAGAGGGAAGTTATCATTGGTGAATCTTTATGGCCCAATTGTCCTCCCCTGTCCCCTTGCACTGGGGAACTCGTGGCAGGGCCGTGAGCAGGCACCTGGCAATGCTGTGCCCCAATGAGCCCTTCACCTGCCGAGGGATGCAGGATGTGGGGTGCTGCACCCAGACCCCTTGGTCCCTACAGCAGCCTGAGCCCTCAGCCTCGGCTCCAGGGACTGGGAAAAGGGAAAAGGGGGCCTTGACTGCCTGTCACTGCCCATGGGAAACAGCCAGTGCAGGAATAACCCCAGAATCCCCATCCCTGAAATGCGGACACCCCTGGGGTGCGACCCAGCAGCCAGCTGCTTTCCTCTGCACCTCCCAGCACCTGCTCAGGGGGGATTTTCTTCTTTTCTTCCTTTTTTTCCCATTTCCTGAGCCAGCGTTTCTGCTGGCAGGAGGAGAAAGGCCTTGACTCTCTTGTTTAAAGAAAGCCATGGCTATACTGAGACCTTGGGAAAAGTCCAGGATAGATGGGGCTATAGGGCACATCAATCAATCTGTGCAGTGCTGTGCGCAGGAATCCTCACTGGGTGGGATAGCCATGATGGTCACCTTTGTCACTAGCCAGGACAAGGCTGGGCAAGGGGCTGGGGACACAGGGAAGTGCAGGGAGGATGCTCATCTCTTGTGGTACCTCCGGCTGTGCTCAGTCTCGGGAGGCAGATTGCCAGCTCTGTGGGTGATTTCCCATTGCTGGGACTTTACTCTGCTCCTTTCTTGCAAACCAGATCTCTTACCCCAACTCCCTTTAGTCCTGGCTTCCACCTCCCTGCAGGGAGTGGATGTGTCACAGGGGCATCCATGTAATAGTTTCACCCAGTTTCAGCCAGAATCAGGGCTGGAGCAATAGGATGAGATGCTCAGGACTGATGCAGAGCTGCTGCGGGTCCACAGCTCCAGGGCTGGGGGTGGCTCCGGGTTTACTGCAGGCTGGGAACAGCAGCAGCCTGGCCTGGCTGTGTCTCGGAGGGCTGCGAGGTGGGTACAACAAGCTCTCACAAAGTCCACCTTGAGCAAACAGATGACAGCAGTGCTGCAGGGGCTATGGGACATGCCGATCCCTCCATGAACACAGGAGAGCTCAGGATGCTGTGGGGAGGAAGGGCTGGTGTGGGGGTGAGTGGGGCCTCCTGGAGCACCAGGGGCTGGGTGCTGTCCCTGACCCACTGGCTAATGCTGGGGACATCAGCCACCAGATGCAAAGGGGCAAGAAACGGCTGTGCATTGAATGTACAGAGCTCCTTAAGTCAGAGAGGCTTTGCTGGGTTTGTTACCATTTTCCTGTTAACCCCCACAGATCTGGGAGGCAATCCTATGCGAGAAACACTTCCCAGGTTCATATCTGCAATCAGAAAAAATCCGAGAGTCTCTTATTTTATCCCCTCCTCTCAATTTCATCCTAAATCTCTTGTTTTCCCACCTTTTTTTCCCCCCTCTCTTTTTTTCAGTTCCTTTTTGTCAAATTCCAGGCCGTTTATGTCCCAGAAGGTTGAGGACTGACTAGTCCTCTCCTCGCTCATGTCTCCAGCAGGGGAAGGGGCTGGTGCAGAGAAAAGGGTAGAAGTGGCCTTGAAGGAGGTGATAAAACACCCTTCTAGATCCTCTGTGGGGCTGTGCTTTGGTTTGAGGAGGAAAAGCCAGCCTCTAAGTGATGACTGTGACTACATGGTGGTGGCCAGTGCAGCCGGGGTGTGACACAGCTTCACCAGGGCTTCGTCTCTGCTTGGTTTTCCCTATCAGAAAACATATGGAGATGATTTTGCTTCTTAAGAGAGAAAACAGGTGAGAAACAATTCAATGAAGGGTCACAAGCCCCTTGGAGCCATGCCTGAGCCCAAGGGCTCCCCATTGGGTCTCTGGTTGGGCTTTCCCTCTGCACACAGCTGGCTCTGTCTGTCCATCTATCCCACCCTCTGAGGCTGAGCTTTGCTATCGGAGTTGGAGGGGTGGGTTTGCCCTGGATGGAGTAAATGCAGGGGCACCCAGAGCCTTCCCTTCCCACCAAATGCCCTTTTCCATATCAGTTGGATGGTGCTGCCAGGCACAGAAAAGCAGCACCCCAGAGCACGGGTTTGATGTCCCCCAACATCAGTGCTGATGGCAGGCAAAGCCCACCTTGTCCCCTGGCCATAACCAGGCTTTAGTACAAGGGCTTAGCCCAAGGCACCCTCCTTCTGGGGTGCAGATGGCTGCAGGGATGGGGTGTGCTCCCTTGGGACATCCTCACGGGGTGCCTTAGTGTCCCCAAAGCCAGCTGCTACAAAGGGACCACATCTGGTGCCATGAGGACAGCTGTGGGGTGGTGACAGCAGAGGGGACATGGGGTCCCCAGTGCTCTCAGGGGTCACCCACCGCCTTGTCCCCCCCTGCAGCCGGGGTGGGAGGTTTGAATTGTCCCCCCTCACCCGCTGGGGTTCCTGCACTTTGAAATGCAAACCTGCCTTTCAATGCAAATGCTGCGAGAGGTTGGGCCCAATAAAAGCCTGTGGGCAGGGAGGTGCCTGGCCCCAGGACACAGCTCCCCAAGGCGCCCAGGTGAGTGGCGGCGAAGGAGTTTTCCCGAGGCGGCCGCAGTCGGCGGCACGGTGGCACAGCGGCACAGCATGTGCGCGGGGCCGGCCCGGGAAGATGTACGTAGGTTATCTTCTGGATAAAGACACCCGAGGCGGCCGCAGTCGGCGGCACGGTGGCACAGCGGCACAGCATGTGCGCGGGGCCGGCCCGGGAAGATGTACGTAGGTTATCTTCTGGATAAAGACACCAACATGTATCCCAGCCCCGTCCGGCACCCGAGCCTCAACCTCAACCCACAGAACTACGTGCCGGGGCCACCTCAGTACTCGGACTTCGCCAGCTACCACCATGTGCCAGGGATTAACAACGATCTCCACGGGCAGCCGGCGGCTGCCTGGGGCTCTCCCTACACCCCTGCCAAAGAGGACTGGCATTCCTATGGGACCACTGCTACGCCTTCCACTGCCAGCCCGGGGCAGTTTGGATTCAGCCCCCCAGATTTTAACCCCATTCAGCCCCCAGGCACTGGACTCCTGCCTCCTCCCATCAGCAGCTCGGTCCCTCAGCTCTCCCCTAATGCCCAGAGACGCACCCCGTATGAGTGGATGAGGCGCAGCATTCCCAGCACCAGCAGCAGTGGTAAGGAAACCCCCTCAGCCCTGCACCCCTGCGCCATCCTCGGGCTTGAAGTCCTGCGGGGCCGCATCCTGCTCTGTGGCTCTCCCTGCCCAGCAGGGACAGCATGCTCCTGCCCTCACTGTGGTGCCTGCCCCAGATTGCAGCGGGACCGCACCATCACGGTGGCAGGGGCTGAGGATGGGCAGGGAGGGCACTGTCCTTCTGCAGTGCTGGCAGAAGGAGTTACATGGTTGGAAAGTCCTTTTCCTGGCTGGTCCCTGCTCCTGCACCCCTGCCCTTACCTGCTGCCAGCAGGTAGGATGGGCAGAGCCAGAGACCCCCCAGATCCCAGGGCCCCGCAGTCCAAAGGGGGTGTTGGATGAGGTGCCTTGTATGTGCAGAGGTGAGCGTGTGGGGCTGTGGCTGTGCATGAGTGAGACCTGGTGTGCAGCTGCATGTGAGAACCCTTGTACGGGATGTGCAAGGTGCCTTCTGCTGCATGCATGTGTAGTGCATGTGTATATGTGTGCAGGGAAGGTACCGTATGTATGTATGCAGAGGAAAGGTGCCACATGTGCTCTGTGTGTGCAGTTTAGGTGCATTCAGCGTGTGTGAGGTGCTATAGGCTCTGTGTATGTGTAAGCAGGATGTGTGTAAGGGGCTTGCTGTATAGTGTCACTGAGTGTGTATGGGGGATGCTACGCGCTCAGTGTGTGCGCGCACGGTGCTGTGTGCATGGTGTGTGTGCAAAGTGTGGTGCATGTGGGGATGGTGCCACGTGGAGGGTGCATGTGGGTGCTTCAGGAGCTGCACAACTGTGTGTGCATGTGCACAGCGTATGGGTGCCGTGCACCCCGTGAGCGGGTGCCCCACTCCTGTGCCTGCCACTGGCGTGCTCTCCCCAGGGTCCTGTCCCCATGTCCCCGGGGTCCTGTCCCCGCTGAACTCCTGACCTGGGGGCAAGGGGGGAAGCGTCTGGGTGACCCCAGCCCCCTGCCCTTGGGGCCCTGCTGCCCACTTCAAAGGCAGTGGGCAGATCCCCCTTGGGGCCAGCCCAAATTGACAAGGGCTTGGCTTTGTCATGGAGATGGTGGCCGGCTCCTTTGGCACGGAGGTGAGGTGCGGGGCCCTTTGTCCTGCCCTGCCCATGCCCTTTCATCTTCCCCTCCAGGCTTCGATCCGGCTGCCAGCCCAGCCCGGACCCTCTGCCCACCAGCCCTGCCTGGACCCGCCACCCCTGTCCCTCTCCTGTGCTGGCCATGAGCCCTGCAGAGCACTGTGGAGTCCAAACTCACTACAGGAGTGGCTCTGGGCATCTCTCAGGGGCACGTTTGCTTTTAGTTACCGCTGCCCCATACCCCTGGGGTAAGGGCTTTCTGTTTGCAAAGTGTCTCCAATTTTAGGTTTGGTTTTGGCTCCCTGCTGACCAAGACCTATGTAGAGATCCTTGTGTGAGGGGCTTGTGCAGATGTGCCTGGGGTCTTCCAGCATGGAAAACATCTCCTCATATTTGCCAGATCCATGTGGCAGGGATGGGGCCATCCCAGTGGGACCAGTGGCTGCAGTGGAGCAGGCAGAACATCCCAATTAATGGAAAAAAACAGCCTAGGTCTGGAAAGAGGAGAGGAGAGGTAGGCTGGTATTTCCTGGCCTATTTTAAGCACTGAATATACCTATTTAGGGAAAATGCCTCCCCCCATAACCAGTGATGGAGACACACAGTGCTGGGGCTCAGGGCTTCCTTCTGCCCTGGGGTGGAAGTGGGGGTGATCCTGAAGCCCCCCCATGCTGCTGGGACCCCACCACTTCTGCAGGTTTTGTAGGTCTGAACATCTCGGTTTCTTCTGAGGAGAGATGTGGGAGGGAAAATTAATGAGGGCAGAAAGAAAGACATCAGCACACCTCTCATGTGGATCAAGGGCAAGGCTTTACACCCAGCGGTGGGGCCAAGATAAAACAGGGGCTTGAAAGTGCCTCTGATTGAGTTAGATGACAATTGAGTTGATTGAATTCTGGAACGGTATCATTAGTTGCTTAGTTTGTATCTCTTAGATTAAATACATACAAAGAGACAAATAGATCAGCCTTGTTCTCCTTGCACGCAGAGGAGGAGCTGCCCCAGCCCAGCCACAGCAGTGTGGGGATGGGTGCTGGGGTGAAAGCTCCTCTCTTGTGGTGCTTCCTCAGCATAGATGACCAGCAAGGTCCCTTAATAAGGCATTTGCAGATGAAGGGCCTGTCCTCGTGTCTCTGCTGGCTCCAAACCCAGTGCTGATAGTGCTAAGCAACTGCAGGATTTGGCCATGGTGGGACCATGTGCTGGGAGACAGTGGGATGCAGCTTGTGTTTTCCAGGACTGCCCATTAAATATAAAAAGAGCCTTTCTCCATTAAGCTTGAAAGAGAGCAGGGCAGAGATGGGTTTGACATAGGTAAGGGTGGAATTCTGAGATGAATCACTTTATTGAAATCAATAAACTGGACTTTAATCAGTGTGGATTGATTAACAACCCATCTCACCACAGTGGGAATAGGAAATGAATACGCGACTCTTTTGCTATAAATATCAACAGTTTCATTGCGAATGCTATAAATCATACTACTTCAGAGGGTTGTAAATTAAGGTTCCCTCTCTGTCTTGCCTTGTATAAACAGCTCTTGGCCATAGTTGGAAAGCTTTTGGGAATGAGCTATGCAGTGGTAAGAGAAAACGTTGCACAGGGAACATGGGTGTGTAGGGTACTTCTGCAAATGTAATCCAGAGGCTGAGTGAAACCAGCAATCTCCCAGTGATTCATTGCAGAGTCAGGCTTTACAGGGGGTGTTTATATATACCTGCTGCTAAATACGTGTGTGCTTCACCCAGCTGAGCCAAGATAACCCTGCAGCAGGAGGGACTGCGACACCAGAGGGCCAGTCACTGGAAATTGGGACTTAGAGGGAACCAAGCTGGAAGATTGGCCTCATTTTTCTCTCCGATGTCACCTCTTTTTCTGCTCATAAAATGTTCATGAGCAGCGTGGCAGAGCCTCACGCTTCCTCCTTATTCACAATTATTTGCAAACTTCCCTGTGAATTGCAGCCCGGCTCTATAAAAAGCTCAGGAAGGTGGCTGGAAGCAGCGGCTGCCTGGACTTTGAAATTCACCCTTTGCTCGTTAGTTATGCTAATCCTCAGATACTGCCTCGGGTCTGGGTTTTAGGTCACTAATCGAGCTGGGGACGCAGGGCTAAATATTGCAAGTGAAAGTGCAATTGGGGCATCCCTTGGGAAGGTGAATGTGCTCGGGGATTCACGTGGTATCGGTGCCCATGGTGCCCAGGCAGGATTTGAGGTGATGGAGAGCAAAGAGTGATGCTCTGAGCATGGGTGGCTTTTTGCTGGGTGTGCTGTTTCCATCTCAGTTTTCACATTTTCCAGCTCTATTTGTTGTCCTGAGGTCTGTAAAAGCTGGAGGAAAGACTAAAACCCCCAATAATGAGACAGAATCTTTTTTGGTGGACAGACAGGGTTCATGTGTATGTTTTGGGGTGATGGTGGTAGCTGAAGGACAGTGCATTTCCCCAGTCAGACCCTGCATGGGGGAATCCCTCTTTAGGAGATGGTTGTTCCCTGCCAGACCCTTTGCTCCCCCAGGTCTCTTGGTGTGTGCATGCATCAGGCCCCATCAGTCTTCTCCCCTTGAATTATTAACCCACAACCTGCTCCTGGCCCCCGGTGGGATTTGTTGACTGCTTAGCCTGCTGGCCAAGGTACAGACCTCTCAAACTTTCCTAGAATTGACTTTCCTTGAACAAAAAGGGCTTCCCTGGAGCGCTGGCGGTACCTACGTGATGGGCTTGGCCAGCTAATACCCCAGGATTAGCAGAGGGACACTTTAAACCTCTGGTCAACGACAGATATTTCCTACAAGGGGACCCTTCAAGGACGCTCACTCCAGTGCTGTTAGCTTTGAGATTGCCTGGATAAGGGGATGGATCCTTCCCCCATTCTGCCTCATGGTAAGGATGGGCTGAGCCCTATGGGTCTGCGAAGGGGGAGAGGACCCCCACCACCTTGCTGTCCTTCTCCTGCCATAGCTAGACCAAATCCAGCCAGATGGCAGAGCTGGATGAGCTGAATCCAGGCTCATTGCCATGGGGCTGGTGTGAAGGTGATGCTCTGAAACATGCTGTTTCCAGCCCGCATGCGCCGGCCAGCCCTGGCCGCCCTGGTGTGGTCTTTGACCTGGCACAGGAGCCCGGTTGGCAGCGCTTGGCTCAGCGCTCGTAAAACCATGGGAGCAACTGAAGGAATCTGCCAGTTGCCAAAATAAAGGGTTGAATCACTGCAGGGCTGGGAAACACCACAACGCCCAGCCTCGGGGTTGAAGCATCTCCTGTCGTGTTGCTCCGTGTCCAAGAATGCAGGGTTGGGAAGGGGAAATACCAGCTCACTGGAGCCACCAGCAACATGCTCCTCACCCCCTTGGGGTCTGCACTGCCTGTGAGGAAGATGAGGCTTGCAGGAGGGGTGTCTTTGCCCATAGCTGTGGGTGCAGATCTGGCCTGGTCCTGCTGTGCCAGCAGCACAGAGCCCAGCCAGGGCCAGCCTGTGCTCCTGTGCACCGGTCTGTGCTCCCCGTATCCAGCTATTCACCCAAGTGTTTCTGCCCCTTCCCAGCAGCCAGGCTGCCCTGCATGGATGTGCCATGCACTGAGCCCCAGTCTCTGCCTCCTGACTCTGCCAGGTATGCAACCCCCAGCCACATAATGACTTACAGCAAAGCTTCTTTGGAAGCACAGAACTCGATCCTCTGTGTCCAGGAGGCTTTCTAGCCACCAGGTCAAGTGGTGTGATTTTGTAAGGGAAACGTTTCCGGTGCACAATGTACCAACCCGAATCAGGTTTTACTCCTGGTGCGTGCCCACAGGAGCATTGCTGTTGTTCTGAAGTCCCTGGCACCAGGAAGAAATCCCCAGGCTGGGGCAATGTCAGGCAAACAGCCCTGCAAGGATCTACCCTGGGACCTCCGGCACCCTC